ATGTTTATACGTTATTTTTATAGATGCTCTGATTATAATAAACAGTATCACCGGCCTGAATGTCCGATAAATTTCGTAGAAAATATGTGTCCGATAGGTATCAGACCTGTATCCTACACGGAAGCATCATTTGGCTTGACGTGCTATACTATTTAGCTACAGAGGAAGCGTCTGGTTAAACGAATTACTGTTTTTAAACAAATTTCCCACGTTCTTTCTCGAACGATCATATCCGCTCGAAGCGTGTCTTAACGCGAACAAATGACAACATATATTAAGAAATAGACTAAGTCCGACAATCATTATCCGACAGAGCATTTTTCGACTACCTCTTTGAAAGTAGTATCCTGCCGATGGCTAATATTTTTATTTAATATGATTTTTCGACTATTCAAACCAGTAGACGAAAAGCGATATACTGTTTAAAATAAATAGAGCATTTACACAATATCTATCTATCTATCTATCTATCTATCTATCTATCTATCTATCACTACATCTCTTTCTCGATTACTTACTTGCCAACTTTCTTGAGTGGAGCTGTTTACCGTCACATCAAACATAGCCATTAGGCCCCAGGCAATCGACGTCAGATCTTAGCAGACAATACTACAATTTTACATCACTCATGTAATAAGGGGAATATTCCAAATAATGTAATTTGTCTACATTAAAAGAAAAGTGCCATACATAAGCAGGTTTTGTACCAACAATGGCGCTCACAGGCCTTCTTGTTCATGATCTCAAATACTAGTAAACCACGTGACATCACATCAAGTTATATTGCATAAACGACAAACAGCAACTTCAAATCTTAACCGGTTAATTCATAAAATATACAGGGTGCGGCCGAAATCCCCCCCATATAGCTCCCAGCAATACCTTCCACATAATGGTAAGACATTAGTTACATGAAGAGACCATTACTACTAATGTATTACCATTATGTGGGAGGGATTTCCGGGATGTTTATGTCGGAGGTAGTTCTGCCGCACTCTGTATTTTCAGTAGACTAAGACAATTACTAAACTTGATCTTTCTATGGCTCCTCCGTAACGATGACCGACAGAATACTCGAAAGTACTAGGAATCATCTTCAATGCTAATTTGTGGAGGATTCATTCATGGATTTCCACCTAATTAAAAGGGATTGATTCCAAATCAAGAAAAATAGATAAAAAAAAATCTAATCATCATTCTCTGTCAGTTACATCCAACAATGCTTAGATAAAAAGGAATTTGATGCCTTAATAAACGTTATTTAAATTTAAGAAGCGTCCGTAATGTTATCAGTCCTGACCTGGCATTTCGACTTCAGTCCCTTTCCGACCCCCATGGTGAGGCTAATTTTTGTTTTTTTTTTTACATGGCGATTATGTAGAAATATTATTATTATTATTATCTTACTTATTTTAAAACGCAGATTGTGTGTGTGTCTGTACGTTTATATATTGGATCGGATTTCCTACATTTTTCAACCGATTTCAACAAAACTTCACAGGACTGCGGAAAATTACCTTGTGGTGGTTCTAACAGCGACAATAATTGGAAAAAACACAATTGTTTTTGCACGAAATCAATTTGAAAACACGATTCTCTCGCCAGAATGAAAGGGGAACAACTCATATCGAGTTATACTTATAAAAACCCAGGTTGTTTGTGTGTGGGTGTGTGTTCGTTTATATATGGGATCGGATTTCCTACATTTTTCAACCGATTTTAACAAAACTTCAATTTTGTTTTGGCAGGTAGTGTTTCTTATTGTCTTGCACACTTTTTTCTTTATTTTTACATTCAGAATGCTTTAAAAATTCCATTTACAAGACAATTGTTTATAATAAAATTCTATTCAATCGATAGACGATTGAAAACAATGTTTTTGTTTGAGTTTGGGTTTGACCAATTCGTAAAAAAAAAATAAAATAACAAAACAATAAAAAAACAAAACTAATTAAGACATGCGTGTCAGTCAACCTTAAACAATAATCTTTGTCAGTTTTATTTTTCAGTCTTTATGATGGTCGATACTTGATCTATCTCTTACTGTTACATCCCCGGGCAACGCCGGGCTCTACTGCTAGTTATTATTATTATTATTATTATTATTATTATTATTATAAATTAATAAAAATAAAATATAAAATAATAAATATAATATTAATAATAGATAAAATAAAATAAAGCAGTAACATAAAAACGGTGTATAAAATAAATTAAATAAAAATTTATAACAATAATAATACACGCAGCATGTAACAAACACTGTTCCCGTCGGAAATACAAACATCACGCCAAATGACGTTGAATTCAATCTCTTCACCACGAACCTTGGTACGTGCAACACGTGTCCGACTTCTCTCTCTGATATAGCTTGTAATACTACGGAGTAAATTATCCCTTTTATCACATCTATCATAAAACAACTGAAACCTAAAGAAATACACACAGCAATAGACACGAAATTATAAATAAATTGAATGAAATTAACATACAATTTACAATACTTTTCCTGATATTTTCTGTCAAGTATTCTTTTATCTCCGTGAACACGAAACTAATTTCTGCTGCTATGATGTGAGTGAATCCTCCGCAATTGTTCCAATGACCTTTCATCCCTCGCACCAGAACCGCGTGTATTTTAGCGTATTATTAGCGCAACAGAATCAGACCGGAAATAGGAAAGAACAGTGCGCATTCGTCACAGGAACAAGGAACGCGATTTTTATGCTCAGAATGTTATCAGTAAGAAAAAAAGGAAACAAAAACAAAAACAAAAAAAACATACAGAAGGACGTGTATCGGTATCTTATAGATTACACAAACACGTTCGACAAAGTACGCCACAAAGATCTGCTTGAGCCGCTCAGCCACCTTGACTGAAGATAGCCACCTTGACGGGAAGAATATTAGAATAATCAAGAATCTATACTAGCAGTAAACCGACCGCCTGCATACGGACAGAAAATGAGTTCAGCACATATACAAAAATAGAAAGGGGCATAAGAGCCTATCTTCCACATTTACAAATCTACCATTCGTCTATGCATTGTATATTGTTGCCATATCTGGTCTAGTACCTTCTGCTTTTCATCTCGAGGTACTCAACAAAATCCAAAAGAAGGATATGTAATGGAAACGGTCCTCACTTGACATCTCGACTTCAGTCACTTTCTCAGAGACCAATGGTGGCTTTTCTCTGTCTTTTTGTTGTGGATTCCGGGATGAAATCCGGTTTCAAATGAATGAGAAACGCAGGAATGAAATATAGCAAATAAATGTATTGACGTAATAATACAATTGGTAATACGGTTAGTAGATCCACAAATGCGGTTAGTAGCAATAATAATATATATACAGTCTGGGAAATTCAGTATCGAAGTAGGACTTCCTTCTGAGTCTACTTGCTCGCAACTGTGACTCCTACCTCACACTCTCACTCTTTCACCCTCGCACTTCCGGGTATTCACCGGCAGCAGTACAAGTACACACTAGGCGATTCCACTTGTATAAAAAAGGGGTGGACCCCTTAACACCTTTCTACAAATATATTCATGGCAACTGCTCTGACGAGTTATCTTCGCTAATGCCCCGACAACATGAATTTAAGCGTCTTCTAGATTGGCATCTAGGTCACTCCATTTTACTGTTGAAATAGTTAGATGTAACTGCCACTTCTATTCCAGCAGTTTTTGTCTCACCCTTCCCAACTTTGGAAATTTCTTCTGTTTATTTGCTTTTCTGATAACTACAATCTTCAAAAGTTTTTATGCAACGTCAATCGCCATCTTCTTTTGCCTTGATCCCGTTCTTCTATTGTTTTCTCAATCCCCATTTCACAGTCTTTTCCTCTCACTTTCACTCTCTGTAACCCCTGCCTGCTAGTGACATTCCCACCTTGATTGGGGTGAAGTGCTTAAATATATATATATATATCAACCCCATGAATATTAAAGTGCCTAATGAGTCATTTAAATTCGATTCATGAACGTATCGTTCGAAAGAACTTAAATCATTATTTGATGGTATCAGATGATATCCAATAAAACATCATTTGTTGATGCCCGCTGATTAAGGGTTTAGAAAATTAGCAATAAAATTATACATGCAGATATGATACTAAATTTGGCTGTTTCTTCCAGACTTATTTGCATGAAGATTCTCCAGGAAATGATGTAATATAATGAATCCTAGAATTACCAATTAGTCATTTAGAATCGAATCAGGAATGAATGATACCCGTAACTTTTGGAAGGAAAGCAAAAGTTTAATGCATCAATTGGTGATAGCTGCTGATCTAGAATGAAATATCAATTGACGTTGTCCGCCGTTTAAGGGTTAATCTGGGTTTTTTTTTTTTTAATATTTATCAGCATCGTGAATAAAAAAAGAAGAGAAAGAGAATCTTACTTATATTCAACAAATTCATTCATTTAAATAATGCTTTCCATTTCTTTCTTTAAAAAAAAATAACCCAATCCAGTTTCTATCTTTTTCCGCGGGGCAATGATGCTGAGAAAATACAGCTCACTACATTCATTAGCCTCGTTATTCGTAGAATTCTGCTCCTCTCTTTCGTTTACACACATACACACACACACACACACTCTCTCTCTCTCTCTCACACACACAGAGAGAGAGAGAGAGAGAGAGAGATTGTCTATAGATATCTCCACACAGCAGACAAAATTGTGAAATTGGAATAAGGAAATTATTCGTTTTCTACGGATTATCAACCCAAATCTTCGCAGGTTATTTAAAGCCGGAAATTATTTTTAGATTGTAACATTTTTTTGCGATAATATTGATTGAGTGATACAAGACTTACTAATTAACCCATCGCTGGTTGAGGTGAGGGGGGGGGAAAGAAAAAGTGGATTCATACTCTTTCCAAGCGTATTTACACGTAAGACAGTATAAGGAACCCAACGGGAACTGGAACTCGGCTCACCGATTAACAATTCCGAGCCATTATCCATTACACCACCCGCACATTCAAACTATCAACACTTGGTATTCCCAAACAGGTAATCATCTAGGTACTGACCAGACTCGATGTTGCTTAACTTCGGTGATCGTACGGGAACCAGGGTTTCATTGTGATGTGAGCGTAACCGCCTCAGAGAGAGAGAGAGAGAGAGAGAGAGAGAGAGAGAGAGAGAGAGAGAGAGAGACAGGCAGACAGACAGACAGACAGACAGACGCACGCACACACACACTGAGTTGTTTTTACTTTTAGAAATTCTCCATAGTCGCCCCCAACTGAGCCAAAAAATTACGAAATTGAAATAAAGAAAGATATTAACGTAAATTTAATTAGTTCAGACGAACGAATAAAAGGTCTGTTACAAAAAGGACTGTGAGTAAATCGGCAATGTGAACGATTCCTCTCTTCCGAGAAGCCAAATAGTTCACTTCCAATTTTCAATTTCTCTCTCTTTCTCTCTTTTCTTCAGGCTCTCTCTCGGTCCCTCTATTCTGATCAAATTAAACATTTCTTGATGTCGTTCCAGTAGATTCTTTGTGATAGTGACTCAATCGACAATTTACAGATACGAAGCTTATCCCAGTTTGGCACGGGACCAGATGAAAAATCGAAATCTCTCATTATTATTTATTTTTCACTAGGTTTTCTTTCATCATATTGTTGATGCTATTTTTTTTACCCAAATGTTTTGTTCGTTTCATATGCGACGACTCTTCAGCAAGCATAATGAATCTGAAATCATGAATTACTGTATTCTATTGTGTATAAGACGACTTGAGTATAAAACGAGCCCGCCGTACAGCCATACCTAAGTTAATTTTTTGGAAAATTTGTAACGTAATATTTTAATGGTTTCACCCCAATGAAGGCAATAATGCCGCTATAATACAGGTTTGGTTTGGTTTATTTTGTTTTACAGCATATCAATCTCAATGCCGAAAAGATTTTTAGGATAGTTTGTATGATCAGAATATGTATTCTTTGTAAGAAGTCAGTTTGAATATCAGATTTCAGTGACATATTTTTGTAAAGAGGGTTTTTGTCGAGAGTCAAATCCACTGCTGGCAATATTTTTTTCCAGAAATGTATGGCTGGTATTTTTACTATAAAAATCTGTTTTTATACTTTCATAGTGTTTGACCTCAGTTTGGGGGTTAACTATTTGCCTATAGCTGGGACCCTAGCAGGTGCTACCACCGCGGGTCAAGGTGGACCTGGAAATAACAACAATTAAGAAGTGGCCCACGCTCCTCAAAATCTCCCTTGCTGCCTGATGTAGTTTATCATCATACTCAAAAGTGAGAACAATAAAAGAAAAGTAATCAAGAAGACAGAAGATAATGATTGACATTGCATTTGAATGACTGAAGATCAATGTTGGCTGGAAAGCAAGCTGTCGGAAGAACGTTCCACGGGTGAAAAGTGCGAGAGAAGAAACTGTCAGCAAAGAACTTACGTTTACATCTAGCCAATTGCTTTTTTAGTCAGTTTACCCCAAGTAGGTCGATAATGGCACTAAGGTGCAAGGCGTTACTGGAAATGAAAGAGAAATAAAAAAAATCTTTAGAAGGAACCAGAAACCAAATTCTAAACTGGAAACAAGTGATGTACCGCTATTCATGTTGAAAAGATTGGGGAGAAATGGGAACCTTATGATAGATGAACCTATCTACAACGATGAGACTTCGCCAAACTAGTGCTTAAATTTTAAGTCTAGGTAACATAAAGCAAAGCTCATCAGAACAATGACCATAAATTTATTTGTAGAAAAGGCACAGGTATGCCAGGTCAAGACAAATAACATTGCAAATTCTTTTTTTGGATTTTATCAAGAATTTCTGAAGAGGAACTAGACCACATGTGGCAGCAATATTCGATGCATGGACGAATGGTAAACTTGAAAATATGTAAGATGCATTCTGGATAGAAAAAGTGCCCAACACGACACAGTCAGTCAGTTATGTGCCATGCGTGATACACGCTTAGGCGATCATATGTCTTTCAATACATGATTGACGAGGCAGATGTTTTCCCATAGCAGGTTGCCATTTCTTTCTGCGGTAGACCAGTTGCCATCCAAAGCTACAGAACCTGGTCTGTCATGCTATTTACTCATAACTAGCGGGAGAAGAAGAGGATTCCTACCTTTCCTAAGGGTATTAGCACGTCAGTGAATGTAATGGATTCGACTAGTATTCGAACTCGGCTCTATTATGATGTCAATAAACTGTGTCTTGGCAAATGTGATCAGGCTACTTCTAACCTCAATTCTCTTGTTGGGATGAATATGCAACAGAAAGCAAAATAATAATAATAATAATAATAATAATAATAATAATAACAATAATAATAATAATAATATCATAAAATACACGAAATTCAAGAAGTGTATACCAGAACCATCTGAGAGAAACATCCCCATGAAAATTATCGAGGAATTGTCCAAATACCAGGACTTGGAGATCGAGATTAGCAGGATTAGAGTGAGACTGTAGCAGTAGTAATCGGAGCTCTGGGTCTCGTGAGAAAAGAAATGGACAGTTTTACTAAAAGTGTCCCAGGTAATATCAACATAAAAGTTGCCCAGAAGATCGCCCTACGAGGAACATTCTATATAATAAGAAAATTATATGACAATCCTCCTATAAAGCCTAAGGACCATAGTTTGGACCCAGCTCTACAGGATAAAAAGCTGGAAACATAATATACACAGATGACAATAATAAGCAGCTGTTCATGGGAAAACGCTGCTCGAGTGGAAAATTGCATCTCACCAATGGAATACGAAGGGAATGAGGATGATTTGCCACAATGTACAAGACAACAAAGATCTTAGCTGTGCAGGTTAGAACTGATGAGACTAACGTATGTAGTACGTCTGAACACTTTCCATGGACATAGCAATAGCTCAGCGTGAGGCTTCCGCCGTTTCCTCTGTGAAAGGGGTTGTAGAGTGGAAAATAATTCGTCACCGTCAAGGACGCTTTTGGAGTTATATCGAGAATAGAAGTGAAGGCAAGGCAGCCATTTTCTGCCTGGTCTAGCTCTTGTAAAGGTGGAGGATAACAAGAAGGGTCAGGTACTTAGTGGAAGAGAGTTAGGGGAAACCGTCCTTTTTCCCAGCATCTTTATCAATGGATCGCATGTACGAGTCTTACTTGAATTTGGGATTGAGCTTAAGTCCCGAGAGGCGCCAAAGGTAGGGAACACATCTGAGGGAACATCCGTTTTGCGATCGCTAAAAATTCTGGGTCTGCTCGGTGATGATGGAATGTAACTGGTTTGGTTTTCAAGGCATTGAATGTGACCAGCCCGTTGTTTTTTCTCCACTATGCTGTTAGAGCTCGGTCAGAGGAGAGATCAGCTGCCAAACTCTGGTCATCAAGGGTTTTGCTTGTGCACGCATATACAGTTTTATCCTCTGCATATAATATTCAAATATGATCAGATTATATACTCTCAGGCAGATCGCTTATGTAAAGATACATACATACCATGAACCTTTGGGTATATTATTATGGAAAATATATTTAAGCGGAACTAATATATATCGTCGGCCATAGAAATCCGTACAAATGATTTTAAGTGAGGGAGAAATATCGAAAAGATTTAATGTTTCTGACATTTCGAATTCAGTGCAGTCGGAATTTCTAGAGAGAAAATAGCAGTACAGCTTAAAAGTTTATTTGATTCTGTCCATCTGTTTCTTCTGAGCAATTTTCGCCTGCCATCTTTAAACGCAAGATGTCATTCATTGAAAAGTTTGCATCAAACTATTTTCTAGTTTTGTTTATAACAGCAAAAGCTGTTCTAACAATAACTTTTGATAGCCTAGGCGTGGCAAGTGTTTTTGTAGAGTCCTTCGATATAATGTCATGATATAACGATAGTAATAAAATAACTGTATAAATTATTACGTATAAAAATACTGAACAGGAAGTGAGAAGAAGACTAAGAAAAGAAGAAAAAGAGAAATAAAACTAGCAACTATAATAATAATAATAATAATAATAATAACAATGGAGAAGTAGCGAAAGAGGAAGAGGAAGTAGAAGAAAAATGAAAACGCAAGAAAAAACAAAAATAACGGCAGCGACTATAATACTAATACTAATAATAATGGCAATGATAAAAAGATAGAAAAAAGTTTATTTGATTCTATCAATTCAGTAAACATGAGGACTAACTAGATCTTTCAATGATATCGCAGAAGTATTCCATTTTGGTCTGATCTGGCTCTTGTAAAGATAATGCATAGCTGTCGGTGCCGGGTACTTAGTGAAGTGGTACAATAAACAAACTATTCTTTAGCGATGGTCCATGTATATGGGTTCGACTTGAGGCCTCGAGTGATTTTTTTCCCATTCAAGCCAAACAACCTCCTTGAAAGAGGACAACCATGACAGATCAAAATTCTGGTCTTCTCGGTGATGGTGGAACGTTACTAGTTTGGTTTTGGAAATACTGAATATTACAATCTTAGTCTTTCCACCACTGTGCCTCCAGAGCAAGGTCAGAGGAAAGATCAGCTGCCAATCTCTGGTCATCTACATTTTTGAGGTGCACCCATAGACCTTTGTATCATCAGCACAAATCACAAATGATCCGTGTGTACTCTTAGGCAGATCATTGATGTAAAGTAGAAAGGAAGGAAGGACACTATATATAGGCAGAAAATTAAACAAATACCCATAAAAAATGTTGTGCAGCCACCGGAGCACTTAGTGTTGCATTAAGTGTTCACATCACCCGCAAGGTGCCGCTACCGTCTACGTTGAACACTTATGCCTTAAAAAAAATATGCCAAGCATGTATAATAAACCTAACGAATGTAAAATTAACATAAAACAAATTAAACATAAAATAGCTGGAAAATGTATTTATATATAATTAGCTTCTTTTATATTCCTGGAACCCATAGCAACCACGCGCGTTCCACAAACCCAGTGGGAATATATTTTGTAGATTATAATTGAGAGAAAAGCGAGAATAACTAATGAAAAAACAAACTATTAGCATAGATGTTGCATATAGCGATTTCAACAGCAAAATAATGCGACCTAACTGCCAATCCAGGGTTACGGTTAATTTCACAAAGTCGAAGTGCCAAAGTGGAAAGGTCATCA